GTAACACGCTCAAGGTCATTCTTGGCCATATCATTAGTTCCTACATGGAGAAGCAGGAAGGGGTAGCAATCCGAAGGTTTGATCAGCTTGCTAAGCCTCTCAGTGACATCCCGAATGCGAGCTCCCGGTAAGCAGCACACCTCTCGAGATTCCAGGTCCGGACGGCAGAGGGATGGCTCAGTCCCTCTTAGGAGGGAGTCCCCGACCACCACCACCCGTCGTTTCCTTTTGGGGGTGGTGGCCGTGGAACCCCCATCCCTAGGACTATGCATCCCATGCCTTGCAGTATATGGTGTTCCCTTCTGGTTTCTTCCTTGTGAGGTCCCTTCCAGAGCTTTCAGCACTGCAGAGCCTGTGGAGAGAGCTTGAAAGCGATTGCTTACCTCTATAGCATCGGGGGATTCCTGTGCTGGCCTTTTTCCCCTTCTAGAAGTTACATGCTGCCATGTCTCTTCTTGGTCACTTACTGCCCTCTCTGGCTCCTCTGCCTGCCATGCTTGAAGGATTAATTGCTGCCTTCTATCGAGGAAGTCTTCATCCTCTCTGATCAAGCGTAAGGTCGACACTTGGGCCTCCAGTCCTCTAATTTTTTCTTCCAAAATCTCGACCAGCTTGCACTTCGTGCAGATGAAATCCGTTCTTTCTTCCGGGAGGAAGACAAACATGGCACACGCCGTGCAGGTAACAACAGCAGACCCATCATCAACCATCGCTGCTGTCCTGGAGAACGGATTTAAAAAGAAAGGCAAGAGAACCTCCTGCCCTTCCCTCTCCCCTTCCCAACTCCCTCTCAAAACTCCCTGTTAGCAATCACCTGTTCGCAAGCTCCTTGGTCGTTTGCCCATTGCCTTATAAAGCCCCTCCCCCTACCAAGGCTCAGCCAATCAGCAGAGGCTTCTAGAATTCAAACTTTAATTAGAAGCCAACAGTTTCCACCTGCCAATCACAGCCCCTACCAATCACAGCACAAACTCCATCAAGGGGAGAGGGAGCATAAAGGGGAGGTTGAGGGGGGGGGGGAAGCCTCACTCTCAAACACAGGGGAAAATAAATAAATTAATTAATTAGCAAAAAACAAAAAAGAACACACACCAACCCTCACTCACAAACACAAGCTCAGCACACAGGAAGAAAGCCCCAAACACAACACATACTTCCCTCAAGACTCTTGTATCTGCTTCTCCTCTACCTGGAGAACTCCCTCTCTAAAGCCTCACTCAAACAGGAGGAAAGTTTCTCAGTGTATAGGGTAGGGGTAGGACTGCCCCTGCAGAGTGAGTGCCTTGTTCTCTTGGAGGTGGATGGGAGGAACATCATGGGCTACTGGGACATAGACACAGAGGTGACACTGACCCAGTCTAAGCAGTGGGCACCAGACCAGGTGGTGCCCAACACTCACCTGACCCTGATGGGCATAGATGGGTACCCATGGCCACAGTGCATCTGAAATGGGAGGCTAAGTAGGGCTCCAGCACTTGCCCACTGAGGTGCTGATGGGGAGTGACCTAGAGAACTGGCCAGAAGGACCCTACAGTGCCCAGGTTGTTACTCATAGCCAGAGCTGGTGAGGGCACAGGTCCTTTCCCAGCAGGCCAGGGACCCTGGGGCAGTGAGAGGGGACAGGTCCCCATCTCTTCCCCAGCTGCTGAATTCCAGGTTGAGTTGCAGAAAGGACACTTGCAGAAGCTGAGGGACTGGGCTAGCCTCTGTGCAGCACAAGCCCTGGGGGGAGGGCTGCCAGACGAGGTTCCTGTGGTAGAAGGGATTCCTGTACTGGGAATGGGTCCCTCCAGGGGAAGTGGAGTTATGGGGGTTCTGGCGGCCGATGGTGTTTCCCCAAAAGTACCACCACAGACTGCTGTACCTGGTCCATGACGTCCCATTCTCAGGACCCCGGGGGATCCAGCCCACCAGGCAGAGGCTGCTACAGAACTTTTACTGGCCTGGGATCTTTGCTGCTGTCCAATAGTACTTCCAGGCCTGCATCTCCTGCCACAGAGTGAGGAAAGCCCTGGACAAGGTAAAAGCTGCCTTGAGGCCCCTGCCCATCATAGAGGAGCCTTTCTAGAAGATGATGATGGATCTAGTGGGGTCCTTCAGCAAAGTGACCCAGTCAGGGTATGTCTAGACTACATGGCTGTGTCGACGGAGCCATATAGATGAGGATTCTAGACATAGGGAAATGAAACGGTGATTTAAATAATCGCCGCTTCATTTACATCAAAATGGCTGCAAGGGGAGCCAGTGGCCTGGGAAAGTTCAGAACCCCCCCTCCCACTCTGGGATAAAGCATCCGCTATGATATTAGGGCTCCCCTTAACAAAGAACACCTCCATGTCGTAATCCTGCAGGAGCAGGTTCCATCTCAGGAGCTTGGTATTGGCCCCTTTCATTTGGTGCAGCCAGGTCAGAGGAGAATGGCAGATGTAGACCATGAAATGCTGTCCAATCAGATATGGCTACAGTTTTCTAAGGGCCCATGCCAGGGCTAGGCATCTGTCTTTATGGCTGTGTAGTTCTGTTACCAGGGCAACAGCTTTTTGCTCAACTGCACAATACAGTGTCCTTCCTCCTTTTCATCCACCTGCATTAGCACCGCCTCCAGCCTTGTGTCTGAGGCACTGGTGAACACCACCAGGGGCTTGTCACAGTCTGGGTTTACCAGCCCTGGGCCCTGACTAGGGCCTGTTTCAGTGCACAGAGAGCCCTCTGGCACAGTTTGGTCCAGACCACCTTGTCTGGCTTCCCCTTCTTACGCAGCTCATGTGTAAGAGGAAATGTTGAGGAGCCTCTGCTTTGTTGGCTTTTAGAATGGCTCTAGGGAGAGTATTGGTTATTTGCAATACAAACTTATTATTTCTATTTCCCACCTCATGCCTATATTTGACTGAAGGGAACAGCATGGTTGCAACTGTGACATCTGGAAGAAGCGACTAACTAGGTGACCATTGAGGAATATACGGTGTGAGCAGCTCCCATACTTCAGGGAGCTGCTCTCGTGCAACAAGCTTTCTGCAAAAGCACATTGGAAAAGTGTTGTGCTTTTGCACAAGAGATCGTCTGGTCTGCATGGACACTCTTTTGCAAGAAAGCTCTGATTATCATTAACAGAATGGCCTCCAGGTCACCTGTGCTTTTTCCGATAGGCTGTTTTTGTGCAAAAAAAAACCTGTTTCCCTTCCACACACACCTTTTTGCTCAAGAGTTCTTGCGCAAAAAGGAGTTACTCCTCTGTTCGGTTGATTCACTGTACATTTTCTTGCGAAAAGATGTGCTTGAGGCATGCTTCGTGGGTTTTTGTGCTAAAATTGCTGTTTTTACGCAAAAACCGTGTAGTGTAGATGGAGCCTTGTGTTATTACTATGCTATTTCTCTCTGTATGAGAGCAGCCTGATCTCCCTCTCATGTGGAGTTTGGAGGAGAAGCTGTCTTGGAGAGAGTGTGGGGGTAGTTTTTGTAGAGGGAGGAGGTGACTCTGAAGTGCTGTGTCTAAACTGCTAGCGCAGAAATAAACAGCTGAGTGTTCTGGCTTCACAGAGGGGATGTCCAAATAAAATACTTGGATCTCTGGTCGGAAGGCCGAGAATCCAGATTTACTATCACCCTCCTCCGTGTTTTTTTCAGCAACAGAATAATAAATCAGCTGCAGTCCCTTCCCCTGCTGCTGCTGATACCAGTACATATTGTTGTGAGTATCAGTTTGTCTGCATGTCAGGTTGGCCGTCTGTCCTTTTGCCAGTACCAGGCTTTCTGTTTGGGTGATTTCAGCGCCTGTGTATCCTGTGAGACAAAACAAAAGAAAAAAAACCTCAATATAACAAAGGAGCAGTAGCCTGCAGACACCAGAACCGGAATTTCATAACTCCACCAATAACTTACTTGCTCCCAAGAAGCACAAGGCTGCCGTCCACCAGACTAACCTCATCCCCATCCTTGGGGCAGTGATCAGTGAGATTGCCCCCTGTTGAGGGCTTTATATGGATCTGCTTATTTCCTTCTGCACTGATAAGATGGGGCGGGGAGAGCACACACCATAGCTGATGTAGGCAAGCTCACTGCACATATCAGGAGCTTCTTGCCATCATCACTCCCACTTGCTGAGTGTGTCACCCTCCCATACCTTCCTATTTCAGGGAATCCCCCTCATGCCCTTATTCCTAGATTTGTTTGACTCCCCTCATATTCCCTCCCCATAGCAGGCTCCTCTTTGCCCCCTCATACCAGTAGCTCTGTATGCACACCTCTGGCCCCCATACTATACTTATTTTTCCAATCTTTTCCCCTGCCAACTGTTTCCCTATTTTCCTTCCACCCATTATCATTTCCCCTCCCTGCCAGGGACTCTGTGTGGTCACCCTTCCCCCAATTCTCCATTCTCTCCCCCTGTGCATGGCAGGGGTTTTGTGTGAAAAATTATTTCCCTTTTCCCCATGTCCCCATTCTTGTACCCACAGAAGGGGCCTCTATATATCCCCGATCCCTCTTGCTCCCATTCCTCCCTCTTGCAAAGTCTCTGTGTCTAACACCATTCCCCTTTCTCTCTAAAGCTCTGTCTGACCCCAGTTCCTTGTTTCTCCTCTTCCCTCATACTTCTCATGCTAGGCACTGTGTGTTCCTTTATATGGGTGTCTGGTCCATATGACCAGGAAAGTTGGCAACCTTATAAGTGTCCCCAGTCACACCCCACAATATTTCTGTTTGCCCTGTATGTCCCATAACCAAGTGGGTTTTTTTTTTTGTGATGGTACTTCCCAATACGTAGTACCGGCATCTCCAGACGCAGTATTGGCACCTTCAGTCAGCGCTTACCTGGAAAGAATGGAGCATACAGGGACATCTGTATGCAAATGTCTGACAGTCAGCTGGGCCACGTGTCTTAAAGGGGGATGCATCTCTTAAAAGGGTAATGCTGGCCTCACCTCTCTTTTTTTTTCTCAACAACTTTTCCCTTGGAGTACCGGCACCTTATTTTTTACAAAAAAAGCACTGCCCCTAACCCTCCTGTACTCACATTAGCATCCTCTATTTCCTGCATCTGCCAGAGGATGTGTGCATGCCCCCATTCTCTTTCTGTCCCCTACCACTAGAGATAAGAAATGGCACTGATATTCTGGAAGCCATTGACAGGTGCTGTCAACCAGTTGTGAAAGGTTTTTGAAGCTGTGGCCATGCTAATGAGCTGGCAGGAACATCATGTGCTCTCCTTTTGGTTTGCCCATTTTCCCCAAATCTAATGGTTTTCATAAGAACAGCCATATTGGGTCAGACCAAAGGTCCATCTAGCCCAGTATCCTCAGATGCCCCAGTGGGAGTGAACAGAAACAGGGAATCATCAAGTGATCCATCCCCTGTCATCCATCTCCAGTCCCTGACAAACACTGGCTAGGGACACCATTCCTACACATTCTGGCTAATAAGTATTGATGGACTTAATCTCTGTGAATTTATCTGTTCTTTTTGGAACCCTGTTAAAGTCCTGGTCTTCACAACATCCTCTAGCCAGGAGTTCCACAGATTGACTGTGCTCTGCACAAAGAAAAACTTTATTTTGCTTGTTTTAAACCTGCTACCTAATAATTTCGTTGCTGAACCCCATGTTCTTAGATTAGGGGAACAAGGGTATGTCTACACTACCCCCCTAGTTCGAACTAGGGGGGTAATGTATGCATACCGAACTTGCTAATGAAGCCCAGGATTTGAATTTCCCGGGCTTCATTAGCATAAAGCCGGCGCCGCCATTTTTAAAAGCCGGCTAGTGCGAACCCCGTGCCGTGGAACGAGGAGTACAGATAGTTCGGAATGGCTACGTAGTTCGAACTATCTAGCCCGTGCCGCGTGTAGCCGTG